CGCTGCGCCCGGACTCGCCACCGCTCTGCGGGGCGGCCGACAGCAGGACTTACTACTCCCTGGACAGCCACAGCACGCGCGCCAGCAGCAGACACAGCCGCGCGCCGCCCCCGCGGGCCAAGCAGGACTCGGCGCCCCTCTAGGGCCCGTCGTCACCACCGCCCTCGTCTTTCAGGAGAACGAAGACCACCAACTGGAGAAAGGAAAAAAGAAATAAAAATATTTTTATTTTCTATCAAAGGGAAAAGGTATAACAAAATGTTTTATTTTCATTTTAGCAAAAATTGTCTTATAATACTAGCTAACGGCAATGACGTTTTTATAGGGAAACTATTTATATGTAACATCCTGATTTACAGCTTCGGAAAAAAAAAGAAACAACAAAAAAAAAAGAGAGATGGGCCAATTTTATGACTCTTTAATAGAAACCTATATTGTGGTGCCTTTTGCTGTACGCTAATTTGGAGCTCCTGGAGGGAAGTCTGGATTGCGGGGTGGGGATGGGGGACATGTAAACATGTAGGATCTCGGGCTGGCGGCGGTGAGAGAAATTGGAGAAGAGGCTGCAGGGTTCTGGGGTGCAGGGGCAAGGTATGGGGCTGCGACAGATTAGCCCTGAGGCCGGAAATGAGGACAGGAGTAGCTTTGCCTCCTTGCAAGATCCTGAGTCCTGGGCCTCCTGAAGAGAGGGCATGGATCCTAGGCTTAGAGCTAGAGTTGGGATCAGGTCACGTCCAGGGGGAGACTAAGGCCCAGCGACAGCAACTTGAATGGGGAGGGGGCCTCCCCGCTCCTCACAGCTGCTAAAGGAGGGGGCACTGAGAACCAGGTCTTCCAAAAAGCCCCCGCCCCAGGGAGGGGGCAGCTCTGCCAGGGCCCCAACTTTCGCGGCTCCTCCTCCCCCACAGCCTCCAGGATGCCCCACCCTCCTCTGCAGCACCTTCGTTTACAGATTGTCTTTTCTATGTTACTGCCTGCATGTCGTTTGCATTTCAGATTCTTTAGATTGAATGCATGGTCACGCTGGGACCGAGAAGAGCCACTTGACAGTGTATTTGATTCCCCTTTTAGCAATAAAGTAACCCCATTTCCTTCTCACAGCCCGAATCCCAGCCCCAACCCACCTATGACTTCCACTCCCTCTCCAGCCCTGTCTTCCCCACCCCCCCAAAACTGGGTCCACTGCTAATTTGTCAAAAAGATAATTGTTTAAAAAATATCCCAAACAAATGGGAACCCTGCCCTGAAATGTCCAAACACATGACTGTTGACACTTGAACATTTTTATATTGTAAATAAAATCAAATAACTCGTGTTTGACTGTGTATGCCTAGCCCCCAGGTGAGGAGGGGAAGATGGAGGATGAAAACCTGGGGTGGAGATGGATGGCTGTTGGTGTGGAAGTTGGAGAGGGCCGGGGCAGTCCCTTGGAGAAAGGGACACTCCCTCCAATCTCCCTGGCTCCAGTTCCCAGGACAGGCTCCAACCCTCCTCCCTCTCCCAAGAACATTCACAAGGTATCCCCACTGGCTGCTACGGAACCTGGCCAAGGAGCTGACGCAAATTACTCTGCTTCAAGCTCAGCCTCAGAACCTTGGCCTGGTTCCTGCCCTGGAGCTACAGGGACTGGACTGAGGCAACGGTTTCTGAGGCTAGGTGGGTGAAGAGGGAAGGATTGTGGGGTTGGCACTGGGGCAGCTGAGTCAAGATGACCCTTGGGGCCCAGGCATGTCACAGGCAGTCTGGACACGCAGGTGGATAATGGGTACCCTCGGCTGCCAGGAGGACCACAGCTGCTGCAGCTTGTAAGCCCACAGGGTGTTGCACTTTTCCCAACTTTAGACCCCTCAGAGAGGGCTTGTCTAAACCCGCAGTCCCTGATGGGGAGAGTACATGATTTCAGGCATGGAGAAGGCAGAGGGAGGACCAGGATTAAGCAGCTTTGTCCTTATTGATTAATTTTTTAAACCAGTGCCCAGCTCCAGGAACCATTAGGTTCCAAGCCAACAGGAGGAAGTCTTCTATCCAAATTGCTCAGATAATTGACCTGTGCACGCATGCATGCAAATGTCCCCCGGGATGCATGTAGTCAGTTCAGAGACCTACAGATGGGAGGGACAGAGAGGCTTAAGGTTGAGAGGACTTATGTATCAACAGGGCCTGAATTCAAATTCCAGCTCTGCCCCTCGCTAGCTGTGGGACTTCTCTAGGCTAGTTTCCTCAACTGAAATGGTGATGTTAATACCTACTTCAAGGGGATGTTGTATAGGTTATGCATATAAAGCACCCGGTATAGCTTCTGGCACATGATACAGGCATACCTCGGAGATGTGGGTTCAGTTCCAGACCACTACAGTGAAGCAAATCTTAACAATAAAGCAAGTTGTAATCTTTTTGCTGGTGGAGGGTCTTGCCTTCCATTTGTAAAACACGAAACATCTGTGAAGCACAATAAAGCAAAGTGCACTAAAGCGAGGTATGCCTGTAGGTGCCTGTTAATGGCTAATTTGATGATGGTGATGAGAATCACCATCTTTGTCTTGCATTCTTGAATCACACAGAGAGTGACAGAAACTGGATGAAAGGGAGGTAATGGAGGAAAAGAACTAAAGTTGTAGTCACTGTAGGTGCACTGGAAAAAAATACCCCCATTATAAAGAATCAAAGGAAAATAATGAACTAAATGCTACATAAACCTGCAAATCACTGACCTCTCCTAGTCCCCATTTGATGATCTCATCCAGATCCCTCTGCTGGCTCTTGTTTGCTGTTGGCTTTAAAATTTTGGAGGGCCAGTAATTCCTGCATGTAACCCCAAGTAATTAAGAATGAACTCTTGGTGAACCCATCGACCTCTTTATGACCCAGTTTAGTGTCCTCATTTGACCCTTCTGAAGGCCAAGTTGCTATTACCTTCTAAATTTTCAGTCAGAAACCAATTTATGACCCCAATGAACCCAGTGGCCTTTTCATGATCCCAAATAATTAGTAATGAACTCTTGGTGAACCCATTGACCTCTTCATGACTTCAAGTAATTAGGAATGAATCTTTTGGTGAACCCATTGGCCTCTTCATGACCCAGATTAGTGTCCTCATTTGACCCTTCTGAAGGCCAAGTTGCTGTTACCTTCTAAACTTTCAGTCAGAAACCACCTCCATAACTCCAATGAACCCATTGACCTTTTCATGACCCCAAGTAATTAGGAATTAACTCTTGGTGAACCCATTAACTTTTTCATGAACCAGCTTAGTATCCTCATTTGACCCTTCTGAGGGCCAAGTTGCTGTTACCTTCTAAATTTTCAGTCAGAAACCACCTCCATGACTCCAATGAACCCATCAACCTTGATGTGACCCCAAATGATTCTAGATGACCTCCTGGTAAACTCACTGGCCTTTATATGACCCTATGTAGTGCCTTCATTATTTGCTTTGGATTCTAAGATCTGCTCAGAGTCTAAGGCTAGTTCTAATCTAGTTCCTTTTCTCATCATTGCAGCCACTCATTCATTTCACCAGTGTTAATGGGACCTGGGAGCAGATGTGGCCAGAGCGGCCCCTTCTCCACTCTGCTCTCAAATTTCTGCCTTGGAGCATCTTTAGTATAGCCTGAGAGGAAGAGGTGTAGTCCTATTAAGTGACTTTCCTACTACCACCCTGTCCCCCAGAAGCACTGACATTCGGGTGGCTTGCTGAGTCAGTTTTCTTCCCACTCTTCCAATTATTTCTTCTTCTCTCCGCTGGGTCATTTTTGGCTTGTCTCCCCAGCCCTCCCAGGGTCCCAAATGGTAATAGTGACTGCCTGTACCCCTCCCCACTAGACTGTGAGCCCTATGTGGACAAGGAGCTGGTCAATCCTTTCCTCACCACAGTATTTCCAGCACCCAGCGGTGTGCGGCACTGTAGACTTCCACTGAATGAGAGGATGAAGGCTCAAGAGACACTGTCAAAGAGTCCCCAGGAGTCCCTGAGCCTGCAGCCACTTCCCAGGACCACCAGATGGCGCAAACCACTTACAGCATCTCAACTGCGGTCCTCCAGCCCCTGGATTTGGACAATCCTGGAAAACTGGCATTATTAAGGGGCAGAGGTTGTGGGCGAACATGATGGTCCATTAGAATGCAGGAAAAAAATATTAGAACTTTGATTTAGATTTATTTCCATCTCATCTTTTTTAAATTTCTATTTTTGTGTATGTTTTATAATGTACATAATATTTTAGTACAGTAGTACATGTATATAATTTACAATAAATAATTATACAATTAAGAAAGTGAACTAAACTCTTTTTTACTGATGGGAGGCACAACTACTGCCCAGGGAAGCACATCTGTCTGCAACAGACAGAGCTTGGTCCTCTGCTTCCATTTACCCGCCCTCATGAGGTAGAGGATGGGAAGCTGACCTCAAAAGTCAAAGGATCTTTGAGACAGCATGGAGAAAGTACAGAGAGATTTTTATGTTGACACATGGCTCTTGCAATTTCAACTAAATGAACATTTACTTCCCCTGAGCAAAATGAAGGGGCCAGACAGTTTAGTTATAAAATACACTTTAGCTAATCCAAATTAAATAATCTGGATTAAATCACTACATCTCTTTGTGGACTCACATGTCCCTTGCATCAAATGTGAGTGGGCTTATAAATGTTGGGTATATAGTTGCAAGGTCGACTTAACTAAATATGTTACCACTGAGGTCAAACTGTTGGCCGAACTAGAGTAATTAATTTAAAAAATAGAAAAGATTTACTCATCATAGCTGCATTGTGGGTGCCATCACCCCCACCACTTGTCAGTCTAAGGAACACAGGATTTAAAGGATGCTAGTCTGTGATCATCATGTGGCAAATTTCTCTATTCTTCCCAAACATATCCTTAGCTAGCATTTCTGAGTTACTAGAAAAGTGAAAGAAATATCAGCCTAAAAACAATCAGTGACTTGTTATTCCACCTTTTCCCAAGACCAAGGATTAATGGCTTCCATAACCTTTCCCGACCAGACATCTTTGGGCTTGTTGACAAGTAGCTATTTGCAAGGCAGAGTGTCTTTTATTCCTATAGCAGTAGATCTGTACAAGAGGCCACCTCTGGAGCTCAGAGACCTGGCAGCACCAACATAAAGACCAAAACATAAACAGAGCCATGGTCCCATCTCATTCATACACCAGGATGCCTGTGGGACAGATGGGGTGGCACACACACGCACTGTCTATTTATTCCAAAACATCAACTGTAAGAGGAGTGTAAGTCACAGGTCAGCCGGAAGAGGGAAAAAATGGGGTGAGAAGAGGTCAGCACTATCTCCACCTTCCCTCCCAAAGTGTCAGGGCCACCAGTGGCCACATAGCAGCCCTCTTCGCTTAACAGGTAGAGTTCTGAAGTAGGCTTTTCCTTCATCTTATTTCATCCTCTAACTGATATCAGTTCTAAAACCATCTTTAAAGGGGTATATATATATATAGTCCTTATATACATGTAATTCTTATATATATACATTTATGTCCATATAAAAGAAAGCAGTAGTGGCCTCAATGAATGGAAGGTGAGGTGGATGCACATGTGAGCAGAAACAGCTAGGCATGGAGGGAGCAGGCCCAGGTCCTGGATTATGGTGATGTGAGGCAGTGAGAACGGGGCATGGTTCCAGAGGCTGCTGGGTGGAGGAAGGAGAGGATGGTGCTGGTGGTCTGTAAATCTGCTGCTGGTCAACTCAGAAGAAGGAGGAGGAGAAAGGGTGGGGGTCCAAGCTGAGATCTGGAGTTAAGACCTGCCCTTGAAAACAAGGAAGATGAGAGAGGAACTTGTGAGAAGACGAATGCCTGGGAAGTCAACCGCCCTTCCCACTTCTTCAGTGAGATGGTATCTAGAGCATGCACACAAATGGCCTAGAAAAGGAGACTCATAGTAGAGAGGGATATGAGGGCTGGGGAGAAAGTATGAGGCCCAGAGAAGCCCCAGGATGCAAGAAGATCAACGCATGAATAGCATCTTCATCTCCTTAGCCTACAGGGCTCTCTGCACTCCTCTGGCTGCCCGTCATCTGCCTGGAGCCGGTCCAAGTGGCCCGTGGCCAGAATTGTGCTCACTGACCCCTCTGGGGGCATTTGCCTGCCTCTGGGGCCTGCCCATCCATGGCAACTAAGTATCAGGCCCAGTGGTATCCTTCGTGGCTTTGCTGCCAGTCACAGTTCCATGGCCCTGGCTGAGGGCAGGGCTCGAGTGTGTCTTGCGGAGAGAAGGGTCATCCCCTTCCAAGGTGGCCAGCCTGGCCTCGATCCGCTCCAGGTCATCTGAGCCCACTTTGATTTTCACAGCCAGGAGGTGGATATAGGTCTCGTAACGGCTTTTCTGGAGAAAGGACAGATAAAGGCCAAAACAAAGTCAAAAGACAAACAACAAAATGCAAAATAAATTTGTACCTTTGATGGCAAAAGAATAATTTCCTTAACATTCAGGCAACTCTCGCAAATCAATAAAAAAAGATACATAATCCAATTAAAAAATAAGTGACACGCACAGAAATTCCACTCATAATTTTAAAAAATCAAAACTAATTGGCAGTGACTTCTTGGATATGACACCAAAGCACAGGCAACAAAAGCAAAAACAGACAAATGGGATTACATCAAAATGAAAACTTCTATGTATCAAAGGACACGATATAGAGTGAAAAGGCAATCTAAAGAATGGGAGAAAATATCTGTGAATCATATATCTACTAAAGGTCTAGCATTCAGAATGTATGAAAAAAAACTTCTACAACTCAACAACAAAATCACAAAGAACCCAATTTAAAAAATGGGCAGGGGACTTGAAGAGACATTTCTCCAAAGAAGATATACGAAGGGCCAATGAGCACATGAAAAGATGCTCAACATCACTAATTATTAGGGGAATGCAGATCAAAACCACAATGAGATACCTCACACCCATTGGGATGGCTACTATTAAAAAAAAAAAAGTGTTGGTGAAAATATGGAGAAATTGGAACCACTGAGTATTGCTGATAGGAATGTAAAATAGTATAGCCACTATGGAAAATAAGATAGCTATTCCTCAAAAAGTGGAAAATAATATTATCATACATATATATCCAAAAAGAGTTGAAAGAAATATTTGCACACCCATGTCCACAGCAGCATTATGCACAATAGCCAGAGGTGGAAGCAAACCAAGTGTCCGTCAGCAGGTGAATGGATAAACACAATGTGGTACATACGTATCATTCATCTTTAAAAAAGAAGGAGATTCTCACATATGCTACGACATGAATAAACCTTGAAGACATTATGCTAAGTGACATAAGCCAGTCACAAAAACACAAGTTCTGTATGATTCCACTTATATGAATCACCTAGAGTAGTCAAATTCATAGAGACAGAAAGTAAAATTGTGGTTGTCAGGGGCTGGTTGAGGAGTTGCTTAATAGGTATAGTTGTTTAATAGTTGCAGTTTGGAAAAATGAAAACGTTTTGGAGATTGGTTGTTCAACAATGTGAATAGACTTAACACTATTGAACCACACTTAAAAATGGTTGAGGTAAATTGTATGCTATATATTTAATCATAAAGGTTTTTTTTAATCCAAATTGAAATAGCAATGAGACACCACTTGTTAAACCTATCAGATTGGTGAAGATTAAAACATTTGATAATGTCCAGTGTTGGTGAAGGCATGGAGGGAAGGTACATTCACAAGCTATTAAACGGAATGTAAATTAGTAAACATTTAAGAGGGAGATTTGACAAGTGTCTGAGGAGGGCCTTGACTCTGAGCTTCAGGCCCCTCACCACAGTCAAGGGAGGCTGGGGTCCTAGAAAAAGCAGAGACTAAGGGTCAGAAGACTCTATTCTCACCCAGCTCATGAGCAGAAAGACCTTTCATTGCTGGGCTTCATCTTCCCTCAACCCCACCTCACTCCCCAGTTAAGTCAGGTGGGAGTGAGAAAGACCAGGGCACTAGAGCCTGGGTTAGGATCCTGGCTCCTGCACTTCTTAAGTGTGTCACCTCAGACAAGTGATCTGACCTCCCTAAGCCTTGAATTTCCTGACTATAAAATGGGGATAATAACAGAACTCATTTCACAGACTTGATATAAGGATTAAATCAGCCAATACAAGGGAAGTGACGAGAATTATACCTGCCAATTCTCTGGTGTGATCAGTCCACTGTAGCTTTTGCCATCACCATTTTACATTACTGAGAGAGTAGATCTGAGAAGACTTTAGAAAGCTACAAAGTTTTATATTTTTCAACAAATTAAAAATCTATCTTGAGAACTCTCTTCTCTACCCCACAGCTCAATAGGAAATCAGTGTGGAAATATAGAGACTGGATTGGTGACTTCCTTCCCATCTGCTCTGGAGGCTTCCCAGCTCAATCTCAGCCTCTGTGACTGACCTCCATGTGCAGGGCAGTCCAAAGGGAAGTCCAAAATGGACAAGTGGTTCCTGCCTTCCTTCACCAAGCCAACCTCCTATCCTTCACCCAATAAAGGTGGTGCTCTGTCAGCGACACTTGCAAAGCATTATGAGGCAGCATCAGGGTAGTGGGCAGAGAGAGATGAGGTGGAAGGAAGGGAGAGCTTAGGAGATACGAAGTTGCTCTGCTTGAGAAACATGTGAAAGAGGAAAATGAGTCACAAAATAGGGTTTCGGGGTTCTGTGTTTTGGTTGGAAAAGCTTCTGGAGAAAGCTGAGCCTGTGGGGAAGTGGAGGTGAGGAGCGGCTTGGAGAAGGATGAGATGTGTGGTGGGGGTTGCCAGTGGAGCCTGGCTAATGCTCTTGGAGAGACCCAAGTGAGGGTACAACTGTTTGCTTAACAACTGGCAGCGTCCCGTAGGAGGCCATGCATGGTTCATGATCGCCTCAGGGGAGCCCCCAAAGTGGGAACCCCCAAACTAGGTGAGCCTCAGGGGAGCCCCCAAAGTGGGAACCCCCGACTATGAAGTGATGTTGGAGGATGGGAGGTGGAAGATGGCAGCTGGCCTCCTCCTCCCTGTCCTTCACAATCTGCCCCCACAGAAGGCCCACCTCAAACGTGAGATAATGCTCCTTCAGTCGGTTCTCCTCCACCTCCTTGGATTTGTGGCCCCTCTCGACTGGGTGACACCTGTGCTCAGCCAGCTCTGCAGTCACCTGCCTCAACTTATTCTCATGAGAACGCAGCTGCTCCTCCTGCAAAGACAAGTCCTGGACTGTGACGTCCCACTCTCAGGAGATCACAGGGGTGCATCTAATCCTGCCCTGCAAGGATCTGCTTCACTAAAGGGAAACTGAGGCCTGGCCAGGGTCATCAAATACATGAGGCAGAGTCAGGCTCCAGGCCTGCGGGAGTACTCCTCTACCTTCTTCCTTCCATCATGCTCTTGTCAACATCAGCTCTCCTAGATACTCTCCAGCAGGCTCGGAAGATTAACTTCCTCATGCTTGTAGGTGCATGTAGACACTCCCTGACACAGACACACAATCACCCAGACACAACCCCTCATATGGGCTCACATGCACTCTGGACCGAGGGGCAATCTGGTCGTGGCACATTCACATCCTCTCACATTCATACTCAGACACATACGACAGTTGCAGACCCAGGATAATAACCAAAGACAAGTAGAGACACTGTCATTCACAGTCAAACACGCACACATATGCCACCCATCTCAGGACAGCCAGATCGCTTTGTTCTATATGGGCAGTGGGCTGTGTGCATGTGTGCGTGCATGTGTAGACATGTGTATGGTGTCGGCATGTGCACTGAGTGTGCGTGCACAGGGACTGCGGGCTTAAGCAGCAGCCTCAGGAGCTCAATGGAGAGACCCGGGACAAAGGCCCAGTACGAAAAGGACCAGCAGCTAGCAAAGACAGGAAGTAAGAAGCTCCCCCTGCCCTCTGCCCCTCAAGTAGTAGCCCACCATTTATCCTTTCTTCTCCATAAATAAATAAATAAACAAACAAACAAATCTGAAAAACTGGAATATGAATGAATTGGAACTTTGGGGGGGATTACAAATAAAATACTTAAGGGTAGGTGACGGGATGAAGGGTCAGCCAAGTCTCCCTGTGCCTAGCTCCCTATGACACACACATTCCCTCACATTTGTGCCCAGACACACACAATGCTCACAGGCCCACAATCACATCCACAGGACACACTGCCCTTGGCAGAGAAGCACACCCATGCCACCTGCCACAGCACTGCCAGGCCTCTGTGTGGTATGTGGCCTCAGGCTTCCCATCTGTAAAGGGGGTGGAGTGTGGTGGGGATGGAGAAGGGTATCTGCCCTTCCACCTTGTCTCTTAGCCCTGGACCAGAACTGTATAGGAGCTGAGGTGGGGGCTGTTGAGTTGGGGGCTTAGCACGGGGGCGGCAGCCTGGGGAGGCGGTGTTGTGATTTCAGCAGCTTGTACCTGGCAGAGGCGAGTGGTGCAGGAGGGCAGCAGGGGCCGACAGAACTTCTTCATGGAGCTGACAGCAGCTGGGAAGGCCGGGGCCGAGAAGATGGCGGCCACCAGGTTGAGCCTGAGGATCCAGGACAGCATTTCTTCCTTGCTCCTGGGGACAGGAATGGAGGGGAAAAGGTGCTGGCTTCTCACAATAGGATTCTGCTCCCTCACCCAGCATCCTGCACTAGCCTGGCACAAAGAGGACACAAATATCTCCAAATAGATGGACAGAGGAGGGAGGGAGGAGGATGGGATGGGGGCTGGATGGGCCTGGTCACCTCTGTATAGGAAGCTCCCTTCTGTCTCAGCTCCCAGGCAAGACCTGGATTTTCCTATGAAAATAAAGTTTACAGGTCCAGAGCTAAAGGCCCTGGAACTAATGGGTTCTAGAGCCAGCAGGCCCGGGATCATTAGAGACAGCCGGTCAGCTGGCCATTCCCACCACCTTTCCCAGCCCATATGCACCCATCCTGAGAGCTCGTCTACTAGCCTCCCTCATCTGCCACATGAAACCCCAATCTCAAGTCACTAAACGATGGGGTTCAGGGGAGTGGACAGAAGGACTTACAGGGAAACTACAGGGTGAGTCTTTCCCACTCATTAGCCCCACCCTGACTTAAAGTGAAGGATGGTTCGCAAAGACTCCATCTGCCCCCTGTGGAGGGAGTTAGGCGCACATCCGAATCACCTAGTGGGCTTGTTAAAACCCAATTGCCAGCTCATCCCCAGAGGCTCTGATTAAGCAGGTCTAAGGTAGGTCCAGAGAAACTGCGTTTCAAATAAGTTCCCAGGAGAAACTGTGAGACCACCCACGGAGAACCCCTGCTGCAGGGCACTCCTGCTGTTGGTTTGTGCCTCCTATATACCCTCACGCACAAGGGTAGCTGAGGATGCCTCCCTGAGGATGAAGGGGAGGGATGCAGTACAGGCTCCGTGCTGTACTGCATGGGCCCTGAGCCCATGGTGGGAGCGAGCGGGCTCCCACTCCTACTTACGGTGCCTGGAACAGGAAGACCCTCCAGTCGGCCGTCTTCAGCTTGAGCACGTTGGACTTCTTGCTGTAGTCGGAGGCCCTGGTGGCCAGAGCATGGTGCACACGAATGGCATTCTTCAAGTCGCCCTCAGACAGAGCTTTGTCAGGCCTGTACTCATCCTGGACAGGCGGGGTGGGGGGTAGGCCAGCCTCTGTCATGGCCAGACTCCAGCTTACTGACCCACACTTCCTCCGCCCACACCAGCCCTCCCTTTCACTCCCCTTCCCTCTGTCCCTCTATCTCCCTCCATTTTTAGCTCCTGCTATTGTGATGCCATGCCCAAAGAATCACTCCAAGTACTCCTCCCCATATCCCACTTTGTCCCAGAGGCCTGAACAGGCCTTACCCTGGATATCCTCTAAGCCCCAGGACATTTAAAAGACACTCCCGCTGAAGCCACCAAAGCTCTGGACAAGCCTAAGCCAGGCTCCTGATGGGGGAGGAACCAGCATCTGCCTAAGCCCAGGTCCTGCCCAGGACCCTCTGGGCACCACGATGCAGGGGCTGGAAGGAGGAATGAGCTGGCCCTTCCCTAGTAAGGACATTGGGTTAGTCTCTTACCTTCTGCAGATATAAGATGGTCCCTTTGAGCACTGCGTAGAATTTCTTCCAGCCACGCCTCCCACGGGGTGCTAGGGAGGGGAGTATGGGTAGTGTGGCTGCAACAACTCATCCCAATATCTCCCCCTGTCTATCTGCATGTACATCCCCTGAGGGGTGGCCAAGGCGGGCGGACCCCATCTGGACTAGCATCCCTCCCCATGCCCCTTCTCCCGCATGACACCCACTCCTCTTGCCATCCATGTCGGCGTGAGTCTTCCGGGTCAGCACACCGTGCTTGTAGGTGGTGGCGCTGAGAGCCTGTGGGACATCCAGGAAGGGGTTGCCACCATCCAGGATCCGTGTCATCTTCTTTGTGCCTGTCCCAAACTTGTCATCCACCAGCTCAGACAGTGATTTCCTCAGCTCGTCCTCATCACTAGGAAAGTACTAGGCCTTAACACCACCTCCAGGGAGGCCTCAGCCCCACATCAGCATGCCTTCTCCCCCTACCACCCCTCTGGGAGCCAGTCAAGGTGAAGAGCAAAGATGAGGAGGTTCTAATTCCAGATCACAGATCTATATCTCTGACCCCACCCCTCAGTCTTCAATTCTGGCCCTGACCTCCGGTCTTTGATTTTTGGCCTCCAAGCTCCAATCCTCACCCTTGATCACAAGTTGGAGACCTTACTCTCTCCAGGCCTCCTTCCTTGTCCTCCTCCACCTCTCGCCAACCCTGAAAGCTCAGCCCCAGAGAGCAGTAACTCATGGCCAGACTGAAGCTTCTGCCCAAGCCCACGAACATGCTGGGGGAAGGCAGCCAGCAGATGAGGCCCATAAAGTATAGGCTCTCACTGGAGCCCTGAAAGGAAATTGTCAGCTCTTCCCTGTGGGGCTGGCGTTCCTAACGATCCCTGCCTGAGACCTCGACATGGACTCAAAGACCCAGATGTCCTGGGGCGCACAGCAGGGAAGGGTGGCTACTTTCCCCTGGAGTCTCTCACGCTCCCCAATCGCCAAAGTCACCACATCTCTTTCCAAATGGCTGGGCACCTCCAGGTCTCACTGCGTTCACAGGAAAAGAAGTCACCCCACCCACCACTACCAAGAACAGTTGCCTCCTAAACATGGTCATATTCTTGAGGTTATAGGGGAACCGGTGCCTCCCGCCTGCCTGTCCCCCAACGGGGAAAAAGTTATCATCGTTTGAGAATAGTGGCCGTATCCCCAGTACAGAAAACCAATGTGGACATCATGGAACTAAAGTCGCAGTTCAGTCTATTCCACAGCAGTGTAAACATTGCACACTTTTTATCAGGACAGAAAACAAACCCAAAGTGGAACTCAACACCAGGTGCTGGCCAGTTGGACAGGGGTCATGAGGGCCCTAGGTTGGGAGAAATCAGCACCATGGAGAGTATCAGAGTGACTTCCCTGCATCCCGGGGCACTTCCTCTTCCCTCTCCCAGTGATTCAGTCTCCCCATAGCTGTGCCCGTGGGCACTACTCACATGGCCCATTCTAGCTTTTCATTCTTGATGGAGTTGTAAAGGGTCTGGAAGAGGGGTAAAAAGAGAAAGAGGAGTTCTGATAAGAAACTAAAGAAAGCCCCATCTACCTCTAGCAATGTAGATGTAGCAAGGAGGTACTTTTCAGCCAGTGGGGCGAAGCGAGTCTTTGATTCATACTTGTTTGTTGCATGAATGAGTTAGTGGGAAATAGGATGGTGGATGATTGAGTAGATGACTGGGTGGATAGATTTGAATATAAGTGAGTAAATGGGCTGGTGGGTAGGTGGATGGGTGGGTGGATATATGAATGGATGTGGAGTGTGTTGGGGAGTGTTTAGGGGTGCAGGGAGTGTATGTGTAGGTGATGGGTGAATTGGGTAGGTGTATGAACAGGTAAATGATTGAGCTCGTGAGTGGGTGGATGAAAGGATAGATGCATGGGAGGCTGGGTAGGTTGGTGAATGAATAGATGGGGAGAAGTGGGCAGGTGGGTGGTGGGACTGGGATTATTTTATCTCACTTACAGATACATTTTTAATGAGTGCTCCTTGATGATGATGATAATTATAGTAAAAAGAGTGATGGAGACAAGTTTTTAACCTCCAAACTCACTATCTAACTGCCCATCTGGTATCATCAGCTCCTTCAAACCCATTATCTAAATTTGAACTCTCATCATCTACCCCCGAAAACCTGCTCCTCCTTCTCCAAGGCCAAGAATTTAGCAGGCGTGAAAGGCCAGAGTTCTACCCTGTGCTTCAGCCTCAAAAGAAAACTAGATTCCCTTAATTCCTGGTGATGTTGAATGAACGAGTGGGCTTTTCTCTGTGGTGGTGGTGGTGGTGGTGGTGGTGGTGGTGTTGAACTCTCATCATCTACCCTCGAAAACCTACTCCTCCTTCTCCAAGGCCAAGAATTTAGCAGGCGTGAAAGGCCAGAGTTCTACCCTGTGCTTCAGCCTCAAAAGAAAACTAGATTCCCTTAATTCCTGGTGATGTTAAATGAACGAGTGGGCTTTTCTCTGTAGTGGTGGTGGTGGTGGTGGTGGTGGTGGTGGTGGTAGTGATGGTAGTGGCAGCTGTGACAATTGGCTGATTACCATGACAGCAATAATGACAATATAGCACTAAAATCACACAAAGCCTACCCCTCTGCCTAACTCAGAACACTTAACAGTTAAATGTGGAGCTGGATGGTCTCTAACTCTGTCCCAAAGTCATGGTGGCCCTGATCTCAGTATTAAGGATCTGGAAGATCAGGATTGAGTGTGGCTGAGACCTCTCTCCACTCTACCCACCCCTGCCATAGCTGGGGGCATGGAGACCTTAGCAGGTTGTACCTTCAGCAGGTCTTTGGCAAAGTCTTGGCCATCATTCAGCTGGTCCAAATTGGCAATGAACTGCTGGCAGGACATCTTCTTGCCGATGTTCTGTAATGGAGAAATGGTTTTGCCTGAGAGTAGGGGTGGAGGCTGGTGTGGTTCCCACACCCTGCCCTGCCCAGCCAGAAGGGGTGAGGCAGCATCATGGGCAGGAATGGAAAACACTGCCTGTCTTTCCTTTTGTCTCCAAGAGTTTACAAAATTCTTTTTTACATTCAAGATTCTATTTGATCATCAAGCATCATGAGAGGTTGGGGTTCTCCTCAAACCCAGATGAAGAAGTCAGGTTGGATGAAGTATTATAATAGTTGACATTTGACAGGTGCCTATATGTTCCTGGTATTGAACTTGACATGCATTATTTCGTTTCCTTCTCACAACAAGGAGGTGAGATGGGTGTTGTTATTATCCCAACTGACAGGTAAGGAAACAGGTGCAGGAAGGTGAAGTGATGTGCCCATGATCACACAGCAAGGAAGTAGAAGGGCTGAGTGTGTCTGACACCAAAGTCCATGCTCTCACCCGCTACTCCATGGTTAACTCTCCCAAGGTCACACAGCACCAGGACTTGAACCCAGGCCTCTTGGCTCCTGAGCAGAAGCTCTGTGTATTCCGTCACAACTGTCTCACCCTCTCACCTGTACAGAGGGGCAGCAATACCTCCAAGAGGTAGATGAAGTGAGGGAGAGTTTGGTCTTATGAGAATCAAAAATCAATTTCACCAACACATATGGGTACCCCATGCTGAGCTGCGCTGGCACCACGGGAACCCAAGCAGATGGTTTTACTTCAGGAGGTACAAACAGACGAAATGCTAGGAATGAATGTACCCCCAAGTTCTGCCTTCTTTTTTAACCACTGAAGAGCAAAGGGAGTCCAGCCCTCCGAACCCAACACCTGATACTTTCAGACTCTCCTTGCAGTATCCATATTTGAGGAAATACTGGATGGCACTCCATCTTTGTAAAGACAAAAACCCTTGAACATCAGATACTTATTGGTGTAGGATTTTGTGGATTTAGGTTTGCTATAAGGCAGTGTTTCCCAAGATTTACCTACCGATAGAAACAGGTATTCCCCAACACAGGATTTCATAATCAAATAAGTTTATTTACATGTTTCAGAGTCTTTAACATGCTTATGTGTGTTGGGTGTCTCCAAGGCAAAGATCCCACGCACAATTTCCCAAATTTATTAACCTTGGCACCCTCTCAGCAAAGAGAATCTCTGATCATGTAGGACACTCACATACCATAGAAAATAACTCAGAAAACAATATAAGGCTTTAAAAGTAGTTGACAAGCAAGAATTTTCTACATCTTTCCAAAGGCTTCAGGAGAAAAAATCCTATGTGTGCCTTGATATAGTATGTTTTGTATGTTTATGTGTATAAATTATATGCACATGTATATATATGCATACATAGCCATTTACATGTGCATTCATAGTAGAAGATTATGAGGGCAATATTGATAATACTGTCTGAGTTCCACACACACTGAATGGCCCCCAGCCATCAGTCAGGAGTGCAAAATCAAAAAATAACCAGGCAAGCTTTTTAATCCTAGTAACAACAGACTATATCACAGATGAACCTTCCAGCAAGGCAATTTGCTGGTCAAAATATTAATAAAACATCTGAGTAAAGGCATTGGAGAAATATAAAAGCAGTGAAGACTTCAAAGGTAAAGACCTTGCTAAGAAGGGAACTATGGAGAGGTGAGCCCCACGAGGAGCAGTTTTTCTCCCTGAAGCATCTGCCAGTTCACAAGCAATGGCCAAAAGGCTGATCGACTGAGTGGTCTTATAGGACTGAGAACAAAAATTAGAATTCAGGGCCCACCAGGGACAAGGGGCCCTGGGAAACAGCCCAGTCATACTTCATCAAAAAAGCTGAAATTAAGAAAGGAAATACTAAAGGGAGTTCTCTAGACAGAAGAAAAATTATCCCAGATGGAAGCATAGAGAAGCAGAAAGAAATGAAGAGCAACGAAAAAGGGGCCAAATCTAAATGAATATTGATTGTGTAAAGCAATAATAATAAAGTTTCCTGGGGAATAAAATATAGAGGGAGATAGGATAGGCAAAAGCATGATAACAGTAGTATATAAATTGAGAGGACAAAAAAAGAAAATAAAATAAATTGAGAGGGCAATAAATAGAGTTTAAGTGTTTTAAGCTTATTTCATTGCTCAGGAAGTAGTAAAAGTACTTTAATAAGTCAAAGATGCATAGTGAAAACCACAAAGAGAATTCTAAAAACAAAATGCACAACTAACAAACTGAATTCCAAAACATACTTAAATAATCCAAAAGTAAGTAAGAAAGAAGGGGGAAAAAACAGAATAGATTTCAAAGAAAAACAAATAGTAACCTGGTATGTTTAAACTCAAATATATTAGTAATTCATTAAATCGTCAAATAAAAAGGCAAAGATTATCAGACTTGATTTTTTTTTTAAAGTATATGCTACAAAATATACATCTTAAATGTAAGGGAACAGAAATCTTGCAAGCAAAAGAATGGAAAAATATATAAATGCATATAACATTTATATATAAATATATAACACTAACAAAAGAGCTTCAGTATAATCACACTAATATCTGACTTGAAGGCAAGCAGAGTCTTGATAAAATATTTGCACATCAGTGTTCACAGCAGCACTGTTCCCAGTAGCCAAAAGGTAGAAGCATCCAAATATCCATCAGCAGGTGAACATATAAACAAAATGTGGTATTTGTATATAATGGAATATTATTCAGCCTTAAAAAGGAAAGAAATTCTAACACATGCTACGACATGGATAAACCTTGAGGACATTATACTAAGTGACATAAACCAGTCACAAAAAAAACAGAAATTCTGTATAATTTAACTTATAAGCAGTATGTAGAGTAGTCAAATTTCACAAAGACAGAAAATGAAATGGTGGCTGCCAGAGGCTGTGGGGAGGGAGATGGGGAGTTATTGTTTAACAGGTATAGAGTTTCAGTATGGGAAAAGAAAAATTCTGGAGAGTGTTTACACAACCATGTGAATAGCCTTTCCACTACTGAAATATACACTTAAAAATGGCTAAGATGGTAAATTTTATGTTATGCATATTTTATCACATTTTTAAAATAAATTTTTAAAAATAAAAAATAATGGGCAAAGGATTTGAAAAGACATTTCTCCAAAGAAGATATACAAATGTCCAAAAAGCACATGAAAAGATATTCAGTATCATTAGTCACTAAAGAAATGCAAATCAAAACCAAAACCTACCTACTAGGATAGCTATAATTTCAAATAAAATAAAATAAAATGAAATAAAATAAGTGTTGGCAAGGATATGGAGAAATTGGAACACTCATACATTGCTGGTGAAACTTTAAAATGGTTCAGCCACTGTAAAAAACAGTTTCACAGTTCCTCAAAGAGTTCAACATAAAATTACCATATGACCCAACTCCCAGGAATTGAAAATGGGTATTCAAACAAAACTTGTACACAAGTGTTCACAGTAACATTATTCACCGTAGCCAAAAGGCGGAAACAACCCAAAAGCCATCAACAGATGAATGACTAAGCAAGGAAAGTATACCTGAGCAATGGAATAGTGCTCTGCCATAAAAAGGAATGAAATTCTTACACGTGCTATAACATGGATGAACCTTGAAAACATTATGCTAAGTGAAAGAAGCCAGACACAAAATACTACATACTGTATGATTCCGTTTACATGAAATATCCATAACGGGCAAATCCATCGAGACAGAATGCAGGTTAGTAGTTGCCGGGGACACGAGGGAGGAAAGAATGAGTGACTGCTAACAGGTACAGGGTTCCCTTTTGGAATAATGAGAAGGTTCTGGAACTAGAGATTAGTCATGGTTGCACACCACTGAATTGCATACTTTAAAATGGTTAAAATGGTAAATTTTATGGTATGTGTATTTTACTTCAATAAAAAAAATTGCTAAGGAGATACAGGATTTTTACAGTACGATTCAGAGATTTGATCTTATAAACACATATGGGATATTATAAGCAATAACTGCAGTATACACTTTTATTGCAAGTCCGCATGAAACATCTACTAAAACTGATCTTTTTCTGGACAGAAACATAAGACTCAACAAATGGCAAAGAAATGAAATCATTCCAAATAAGTTATCTGATTTAAAATATATTAATAACAATGACCAGGCAAAAAGGCATGTGCCCAGAAAAGAAAAAAAAAAAGACAAGTCCCTGGATCATTCCAAAGCCCAAGGGAGGTGGATAAGTTGGGCCCTCTGCGTTCCCAGCTCTTCTTTCCCCCTGCCACCCCCATTTGGATCAACGGGGCCTCCCAGCCTGCCCTTGACCCTTGACCCCATTCCCACAGCCTCTGTCTCCCAGCAAAAAAGAGTTATGGCCATTCCAGCCACAGACCCATCCCCAGGCCTGGGATGTCCGAGGAGAGAGTGTGAGGGGAGGAAGAGAAGAGAGAAGCACAAAGCAGGGAACGCTGCTTCCACGAGGGTCCTTTGGGGAACTCGCACTAACTCCAACAACCAGACCTCAGGCTAGGGGCTTTACTAGTGCTATCTCCTTAAGCCTCACAGGGACTGTGCAATGGGGGAAACTGAGGCTTAATGAGGTGAGTAACTTGTCCCAGCCCACACAGCTATCAGTGTGGAGAAACACAGAGCTCTCCCACTGGCACCCCCTGCTCCTGATAGTCAAGCAAGCCTGCCTTCCAGAGAGAAAGACAGAATTCCCAGTGTCTCTTGGCCGCTAGTGTGGACAACCCTACCCCACCCACTTCCGAACCATGAAGGTGTCGATGTTTCCCTTCAGTGGAGGGCATTAATGTGGGGCCACAGCAGCCAAGCTCAGGGTATTCTCTGCCTGGGGGTTCACTGAATAGTGGCTGTTGCCCACTGAGCAGCTCTTAGCCATGGGAAGGGGCACCCAGGGCTTGGCACAATAGTGCCTGGGTCCTGAGATTGCCCTCAGGCCCGGTCAAGGGTGGGTGGGGATGGGGAGATGGAGGGGTAACGCTTCTCTCAGGGTGCAATAGCAACACCCGCTCTCCATAAACAAAGTGAGCCAGTCTTGGGGGAACATGAGCGTCTAATGGGTGTTAGCTCCGGTGGCATTCCCATGGCATACATACATCTTCCCAACCATCCACACTCAGGCCATGAGCCCAGGTGGATATAACCAAAGTTATCACATGACTACTCTTCCTGCCAAGGTCACTGAGGCTCTCACCCTACCCAGGCCAGGTGCCCCAGTGTGCCCATGCCAACTTATGCTGCTATCAGCCCGTGGCCTTCGCATTCTTGACCTTGCAGGGATCTGTGGACTGAGCCTTCAGGCTCTCCCTTGTTTACATTTTAAATAAAATCCTTCCTTCATGCCAGGCCCTACACTTGGTGCTACGTGTATTACCTCTCGGTCCTCCCCAGGACCCTGTGTGGAATCACTACACCCACCTCACAAATGCAGAACCTGAGACCCAGAGAGGACCTGTGTCCTGCCCAGGGTCACACGGCTAAAACATGGAGCTGAGAATAGGATCTGAAGTCAGATCTACTCCAGTTCTTTCTTCCACCCTACATGCCCTGGGTAACTCTGGAACCAGACACGCTGGCCCGTTGTCCCAATGAGTCACTGAAATATCCCCAACCCAGCAGGGGGCTCTAATGACCTCTGGGTGAACAATGATAGGGCAGTGATTGGTGGGACCAGACACAGTGATGGGGGACATGGAAGGGGAACATAGAGATGGGGTCTAGGCTCACAGGGCATGCACACCAGCAACTACACTTACCACCTGAGGGAGGGCAAGGAGCCCAAAGAGGGGGTCCCCGGAGCAGACGGAGGGAAAAGAAGGAGTTATTGAGTTACAGCAGCACTGAGACAGCCCAGGGCCCGGACCAGACACAGCCTCATGGCCCACCCAGGCACCCATATGTCACTTCACTGTCTGCCTAGGGCGTGGCACTTCAACAGGCCACATTCAAGCTCATAGGAAGAGGGGTGGAAGAGCACATGATCTTTTAGCAACATCTGGCCTGGACACGGCTAGGAGCGTGCATTTTACTTTGCACATTCCAAATTCCCGTGTGCCTAAGCTGTCCTCACTGCCCTGCTGGGATGGGGATCCAGGCAGACCTCAGGTGGATAAACGAGGGCAGGACCAAGTCTAGATGCCAAGCTGCTCGGCTCCCAGGTCTGCTAAAAGAAGCATGGCCACTGAGCAGGGAGTCTCAGGAAGGGGGCTGGAGAAAGGGCTGGTCTCTGGACGACCTGGGTGGGTCAGTGAAAGGACACGCCCCCTCCCTACCTCCCCAACTCACATGTCCGTGCAGGTCCGTGTTGAGAAGCATCAGGGCACAGGTGAGCGTGTGAATCCCATCTAAATCAGAGATGATGGCACCCTCAGTGTGAGGACCCATTCATTCCCACCCCAGCCATACACAGCCAGCCTAGAGGCCTTGGAGACAGGAAGAGGCCAATCACCTGCCAAACACACCTCAGGGCCCGGGGTCTGAGCAATGTTGCCTGCCCCACCCCCACTGCAGCACTGGAGTCACTTGCCTGCCCTCAGAGAACACTTGGCCACCCTGGGCCTGCTCTAGCCCAGAATCCTGCCTCCTGTGGCCAAGCTTACATTGAACTTCAGACCCAGAAATGGCTCTAGGTCCCAGGCCATGGCCTGCATCTCCTCTAAAAACCTCCTAGTCCCCCTGTCCCTGGGACCCAGGTCTACCCATAGGGCAAGTCCTGCCCCTAAGAGGACCCCAACCCAGACCCCCACACCAGGACTCCCACCACACTGAGAACTGGCATTGTGACAGGGGACCTGGGAGAATGAAGACTCAAAGGATTGAGTATAGGATGGAGGACTTTCAGGCATGGGGAACGACAGTGGGCAAGCCATTTGGGAGGTCGCTTGCCCAGCAGACAGATCCATTCCTTGTGCCAGACTTTATTCACTCAATGTTTATTGAGCAGGACAGAAGTAGCAGGTGGCTCAGGGGCAGGAGGAAGCTGGGGTCTGTCTGGGAAGGGTTAGGTGAGTCAGGAGGAGTGGGGAAGGTGACCATACCTTCTGAGGTGCTGTCAGCAGGGTTGCACTGGCAATACCGGTGGGAGAAGTGTGTAAGAACTCGCTCGCGTTCCTGTGTCTCCCCCATCAGCGGGAAGGCCTTCAGGAAGGTTCTGAAGGGCAATTCAAGGATGCTGAGGACCTCCCAGAGCCTCTTATCCGTCTGGGTACTCACTTAGTGTAGGAACCCCTGACACACACACACACACACACACACACACACACACACACACACCTGCCCAAGGGAGCCAACCCTCTGATGCCCAGCATCTAAATCCAGGGAGGCACCCTGGCCCCCAGGGTGGCTTCTGGAGCATGGAGGCCATGGGGCCTAGCAGGCTTTAGAGTTTCAGCCCATATCACCATCCAAGGCCCTTTTGAAAGTAGGCAGGGGACAGATTTTGAAGGACAAAGACAGAGAAACACCTCAGTGACCGCATCAGCCCTTTTTCAGGATAAATGCACATTCATCTCTCCCTCCTCTATGCCTGGGCCTAGACCGCCCATAGCTGCCCCCTCAGACTGCTCTGCCTCATCATTCCCTCCCCCACTCTATGCACCACCAGCTGAGCCCCAGGCCTAACCCTGGCCTCTCTCACTCTTCCCCCACCCCAAGTCTGAGCTGTCACCAAGTTGTTCTTCTCCCCCAATCTCAATCCCTCCTCCTCCTCCCCTACCTTCATCATGCACCCAGGACACCTGCAACAGCCTCCAGACAGGTGCACCCCCTGCACCACCCCAACACATCTCCCTGCAGACACTGGGTGGTTTTCTAAACTCACATGCAGTCAAGACTCGCCCCTGCTTAAAACCCATCACTGGCTTCCCATATCCCTCAGAATAACAACCAAGCTCCTCACATCCTGCCTGGCCTTCCTGACTACCCCACCTTGCTCCTGTCCGTCCAACCTCATGCTCACCTGCTACCTGCCCCACCATCTTCACAGTCTGGACAGGACAGGCATTGCCTCTGAGCAGACAGGGCCCCTCCTGGAAGGCCCTTCCCTCCTCTGCTGGGCAGCTCTGAATCCCTCTCAAGGCCCAATTCAAAGATCACCGGCTCTCAGGAGCCCTGACAGCTATACCAGAGGGGTTTAGAAGATGGGGCTGGGTCCCTCACCTGGGGGAAATTGCAAGTTGAGACAATTTGGGCTTCTATCTGTCCTGGGTTCATGACGCTAGTTTGTTCTTAATTTTGCAGTGGTTCATTTGGTTTCTGTAGTGCCCACTTTGCTTTATCCTCTCTCATGGTGCCCCTAAAGCACCCTAGGACCTGTGAGCCCCATCCTGGCCGGCCCCTACCCTCTGAGGCTTCCCAAGGCATCCAGAACCACTGACCACTCTCTAGTTCAATCTCAATCAACTGTTGCACAAAAACACTCTATCTGTCATCTAGTTTTCCTCCTCTCCCTGTCTCTCCTGCTCCCTATTCTCTTCCTCCCTGCTGGTCCCCCACTCTGGCCCCTCCTTCTTCTCCTCACACTCCACCAGGACTTTCTAAACCCCATTCCCCACCCCAGCTTTAGCCTCTCCTACTGATAAGCCATCCATCCCAGCTCCTACTCCCCAGCCCAAACACCCCTTCCCTGGGATCTTTGCCAAGCCTCAACCCAGCACAGCTACTCCCAAACTCAGGCCTTGTCCTCTCTCACCTGGCCCTCTTCAGACCAGATCAGGTGCGTTCAGGGTGGTATGGCTGTAGACTGGCCCTCTTCAGAAGCCTACACATGTCTGGATTAAAGGCCACCAACATGCTGCTGTCAGCACTGCCTTCCAGATCTGCTTTACACCCGGCACCAGCTGTAGCTCCCCAGCGCCTGTGCAGTCAAGCCTCAACCTACCGGGCTGACATACAAGATTCTCCGGCCCAGCACCCATGCCTCTGATCAGGAGCTGACCCGCCGAACGCCTTCCCCACCTATCCTCATTCCAACACAAACTTCAGCCTTAGCTCAGGCTAGAGCAGCCTGCTGCGGACCAACACATCTACTGAGAATGATGAGAAAAGCCAGACAGAATACATTCTTAAGCCATCAGGAAACTACTGACACAACAAAAACTAAAAGGGCCCCAAGTGTAGAGAGGAGAGGTGGGCTTGTCCACAGCTGCTTGTTCCCTGGGGCACTGACAATTATGCGCACAGGCAGGAGGGAGAACATTTGGTGGCTTCACAGAGCTGAAAGGACAAACCCAGAGACTTGAGGGGCTGTAAACAGACGGCCAGTTTTCGTTTGAGAGATTTGCCAAATTCTGAAGATGTGCGGGGCAGGATGTACAAAGCTCAGCAGAAAGCCTCTGAGAATTTGGTTTTTGAGTCTCGCTTCACTAAAGAGACAAAATTAGGATTCAAGACCTGCCAAAGGGAGAGGTCCCCATGAACACACTAAGCTCCCCATGGAAAGCTTGGTGGGCCTTCTCTCTGGAATCGAGTGAACCTTGAACCTCTTCTCAGTTCAGCCCTGAGTGGATTAGGACCACGCCCCCTGCCTCCCTCTAACTGCCTAGCAAAGACAGGGCAGGCCCTCTCTAGAGGCACATATAATGATCCAGAGCCACTATGAATCTATACAAAATGCACAGCATCTAACTGAAAAGTTACTAAGCATACAGAGAGACAGGACACATGATGGAAAACCAAGAGGGAAAAAGAGACAACAGAAACGGAAATAGATAATGCAAATATTGGGGCAAGCAAACAAGCACTTAGAAATAACCGTGACTAAAATGTCAAGAAAGACAAGGAAAAAGGGAGAAAACAAGTGGAATATGGAGAATGCCCCCAGAGAATTAAATCTATTAAAAAATTTTGTTAATAAAATGAAAATCCTAGAACTGAAAAATATAATAGAAAGTAAAAACTCAAAAAAATGGGTTTAATGCCATATTAGACACAGAAAAAGGGGAAGTGAACGGGAAGCAGATCAATAGAAAATATCCCAACTAAGCAGGGAAAAAGGAATGGAAAATATATTTTTTTGAAAAGTGTAAGAGACAAGTGGGACATGGCAAGAAGGTCTAATATGCATGGACCACCCAGCTCTTAGCTCAGAGACCGCGGTTCCTCTCCGGAGGTCTCTGGCCTGGTGCCTCTCTGCCGGCCTGGCCACCAGGCCTGCTAGACACTGGGCTGCATCTTCCCATTTCATATTCTCTGCTCCCTGGGGCTTGCAGGCCTTCCTGAGGGCTAATCTTTGGATCCAAGCACCAACGGGACTTCAGATCAAATCTTCTCTCTCAATGACTGCAGGGAAGTCGGGGGTGGGAGTCACCTCCTTTCCTCTCCTAAAGCGTCACGATGCACTCCCGCCTGCAGATCCTCGGCGCCCACCACATAGCTGGCACTCCATAGCTGCTGTTCTGATGGTCCCTCCCCGGAGCCTCCCCAGAGGGGTCAAGAGATTGGCCCAAGGTCTCACAGCAGGTTTGTGATAGAGCTGGCATGAGAATCCAGACGTGCATCCTGGACCACCTGTGGGAAGTGCCGGGCCCCAGCCCCACTGACCTGAGCGCTCTGTCCAGAGTCAGGCCGGAGAAGTCGAAGAAGCTGAGGTACTCTCCAGCCACCAGCCTGCTGATCTCATTGCTGTCAGGAGAGCACGGAGTGTCCATGAGAAGCAAGGCATAACGAACAGTTGGGGGTACATGGGCAGTGGCCCAGGGTACCGCGACCCTCCCACCAAACCTGCCCATCCCTAGGCTGCCACCCCCTGTTGGCCAGTCAAGCTCTGACAGTTTGACCTTATATGGGGGGGTCAGGGAGGCTTCCTAGAGTTGGTGATGTCTCAGGCAACACCTACAGGAAGTAACAGCCAGCCAGGTGAAGGGAGTAGGCCATGGGATGAGGCAGAGTGTCCCCAATAGAGGAAACTGTGCGACACATCCAAGAAGCTACCAGCAGGGCCATGTGGCCAGAGCCAGAGAACAGGAACAGGGGCAGGAAGAGGTGGGGCAGAGAACAGGGTCCAAGGGCCAAGGAAAGGATCCAGACATGATTCTGAGGGATTGATGTAGAAAGGGGGATGAGTAAGGTGGTCAGGTCTGTATTTGCAACACCCTACCTGCTGAGTGGAGACCCACTCACTGAGGGCTACAGTAGCTGCCCAGGACAAACATAGGAGGGGTGGGGAGGAGAGAGATTTCAGAGGCAGAATCCACCAGATATGGGGATGGAACGAGTGTGGCACATGACAGAGTAGGTGGCCCCAGGGGGAGATGTCCAGAGCTCAGGACAACAGGCAGGACTGGATTCCCCCACATGAGAGTCATTGGTGCAGAGTTGGTAAACAACAACACGGTGGTAGGTGGAGATGGGCCCATGCGAGAGGAGGGTGCACAGACAGGCCAGCACGGATCTGAGGAAGCCCCTCTTAAGGGTGGACTGAGGACAGAGTTGGTGAAGAAGCCTGAGCAAGAGCAGCCAAAGAGGCAGGGGTGTGGAGTCCCGGAGGCCGAGGAAGACAGTGCTTCAGGAAGACTGGCGTGATGAATTCTCGCCGAAAGAGAGAACAAATTTCCATCTGAACCTAATCAAACCTATGCTCTCCCTTCCATTTACCTGGGAAATAGAGGAACATGTGAAATAGCACCAGACGATACCAAAAACAAAACGGGGAAAATTCTTCCAGACAAACAGCTCTGTTTCTTCAACAAATACGTGGCATTCGAAAAAGAAGAGGAACTATTCTAACATTGTTGACTAAAAGAGACTTATGAGACATACTGGCCAAACGTAATGTGTGGATCCTGTTTGCATCCTGACTTGAATAACCATTTTTGAGACAATCGGATAAAATAAAACATTAACAATGTTAGAGATAATTAAGGAATTTTTGTTAATTTTCTTAAAAATTGTAACAGAATTATGATAATGTAAAAAAAATCCTATCAGTTAGAGACACATACTAAAGTATTTATGGATCAAATGATACAGTACCCACAAATTGCTTTAAAAGATTCCAGTAAATGGGGGTGGGGGGCTGGGGGGAGTAGGGGACAAAAGAATAGAAAAACATTAATAACTTCGAAGCTGAGTAATAGGTACATGTAGGTTTGATATGTTTTCTCTCCTTTTCTGTGTGTTTGAAATTTTCATAATAAAAAGCTTAATTAAAGAAAAAAGAAAGGAGTGGCTGGCATGTCAACACTGCTGAAGGTGAGGTCCGGCAGTGGCTCCCAGATTCAAGACATAGGCTGCCACGGACCTGGAGGAGGGGCTTCTGAGCGGAGAGGGAGGGGAAGTAGCCGGCCCGGAGGGGCTGAATGTAGAGAAAGTAAGGGGACAGATGCCACCCAAGGTGGAAAATCTGAGGATTTTGGCTATGAGGAGGCTGGGGGAGGAAGAACTTCTGTTTTCAGATGGGAAAGACTTAGGCACAATTAAATACTTATGGGAAAACTCTTATAGAGGGAGGAGTTGAAAAGACAAGGGATGATGGGCATCAACCATAACAAAGGCTTCTGAAAGGTATCACTAGGTTGCGGTTCACAGCCCAGCAAGAAGACGGGGCTTACAGTTGTGATTTCCACGCTGGGGCTGGGAGGACAGTGGCAGGAGTGATATGGAGGGTGGAGGAGGCAGGAAGGAGAAAGAGGAGGGGGATCCAGGAGCAGAGCCAAGCCTAGTGCCTCCCGGTGGCCTAAACCTTTAGTTAGCTCACACTTGGGGGTCTAGGTCTGAATTGTCCCCTTTAGCCTTGTGAGCTAGGCCTGCTTCTGCACATCTCAGAGCCTTAATGTGGGTGTTGGGAGGCACTCGGGAGAGAGGATAAAAGCAGGTGGGCGTGCTGATGGTCAGGCATGCTCAGGATGTGCCAGCCGATTTCCTCTGTCTCACAGTCCCTGCCTGTCTCCCATCTGGCTAGTTCCCACCCTCTCTCCCCTCTCTCCCCTGTCCAAAAGCCTGTGCTTTGGCGGCTTTGTCCCCTTTAGCCAGTCCCCGATAGACAGTGAATGGGGCTTAATGAGAACCAGGGACCCCTTCCCCAGCTCCTGAGTCCTAGGTATTCCCAGCCCAGGCCCAGGTTCTCCTCTCCCTGACCCCATTAGGCTATTCCCCACCCAGCTGCTGTGTCTTCACTACCATCCATCGTGGCCCCATAACCGCATGCCACATCCCACTCCCCCAACCCCTAGGGGCCGCTGTGCCACCACTTCCTCTCCCTGACAGTGTGGGCCCTCACCCGGGCAGCCCAGAAAGGAAACAGATTTAGGGCAAGGCCAGGAATGAGGACAGTGGCAGGAGGAGGAGTTCTTGGGGACTGTTGGGAGCCCCCTGAGCACCAGGCATCCCTGATCGAAGTCACCCACACCCCCTCAGGCTGAGGAAGACATCAGGTTTGGCTGGGGTGGGGGGGTGCAGCAGACGGACTCACTTTTTGCCCAGCTGCCGGGCGACATCACAGCGCTGGAAGCCCTCGAGATGGTAGAGGCGGCGAGCCAGGCGGCGAGCAGCTTCACTAACCCCCTGGCAGCCATTGGCCAGCGTGTCTGCGCTGCCAGGCTCCAGCCCCTCCGAGCTGCTCAGCTCTGAGTCCGAATCAGACAAGACATCCTTTACGCTGGGGTCGCTGCGGAGGGAAGGTCGGGGTGGAGAGGAGGGGCTCAGAGGCCCTGGGTCAGAGGCCCTGAGGAGGAGCAGGAAGGTCTCCCCAGGTCTCTGAGCAAGGAAAGAAGCTCCACGGAACCAGGAGGGGATCAAGTCAGATTTTCACAACAGCCCCTCAAGTAATATCACCAGATGCTCCATAAACCCACACACAGCTCTTTGGCCCCACCAGGCTGGAAAGACCTGGAAGGGCAGAATGGACCCTCAGGAGTGGGGCAGGAAGTCTGGGTGCAGAGGAAGGTCACGATGACCTTGGAGAGGGCTATTCGCTCTGGGCACCAGGTCACCCTAACTTGCTTTGCCGCCTCTGGGTCTGTTTCCCCATCTGTTCAATGGTTCTCCCAGCCCCCAGCCTGGGCCCTGCCTCACCTGGCCAAGTTCAGCAACTTGTCCGTGTCCTCCTCCTCCTCCTCCTCCTCGTCCCCACCTGGGCTCCGGGGTCCGTCATCATGGAAGCCATTGGGCATGGCCGTGAGAGACAGGCGGCTCAAGACGTTCTCTGAGCGGCTGCTAGAGATGGAGCGCCGCAGGGGGCTGCCCAGCTTCCCATCAGCGCCAGCTGCTCCCGTGTCCCCCTCGGGTCCTGTGTCCCCAATGCCCAAGCCAGCCTCTGGCTCAGGGCTGTCACGAACCCGCTGCTGGATGAGGGGTGTGAGGGGGGCCTCAAAGCTGACACAGCTGTCGCTCTCGTCCGTGAGGCTCAGCACGTCTAGGGAGTCGAGGCTGCTATACTGGGTGCCCCGCAGCAGCTCTGACTCCACAATCTTCTCAAACGTGGCGCTGAAGCCGTCCCGCACATCTGGCTCTCCTGGGCCACCCAGCCTGCAGGATGCAAAGGCCAGTCAACATCCTGCCAGGGTGCACCCCGTCACAGGTGCTGGGGCTATGCTGATCTGTGCCTGGGAGCCCCCAGAAAGTAGAAATGAATTGTGTCCTGTTTGTCCTTTCAGCCAATACTTGCTGAGCACTAGGTGCCAGATGGTGGCCGGGGTACTGGGGTACAGCAGGGAAAAAGACAGGCATGGCCCATCCCCCAGTGCCCAACTTGTGCCTGGCCCACAGTAGGTGTCAGTGAATGGATGTGAAGCCTCTCCCTCCAGCCTGGCCCAGGGGGCTGCTCCCCCTATCACAACTAGTGTCACACTGAGTCAAATTTTGTTGTCCCCACAGCCTGGGAGGGTCTTAGCTTAGATGACCACATTCCAGCTCTTGGGCTTTGCCTTAATGTCACCTTCTCAGAGAGACTGACATAGGCAGGTCAACACCGCCCACCACACTGGCCCCCTCTCATTATTCTCCATCCTCAGGGTAGCTCTTCGTGGCCTCCCTCCCCTATCAGGATGTGTATTATGGTTGTTCCTTTGTTTTCATCAGTGCCCCAGAGCCACCCAACTCCCCCCACACAAGGCCAGAAGCACCCAGCACACAGCAGGTGTTCAGTAAACCTTGCTGCAGGGCGCACTGGGTGAATGAACAGATGGTTGTAGCCCCATGGCACACTGCACAGCCTGAACCCTTGCAGGGCCCTGTGCTGCCCCCAGAAGAGGCCTTTACGCCGGCTGGTCCTTCTGCCCAGAGTGCTCGTCCCTCAGACTGAAGCTTCCTTCCTTGTGCCTTTCTTGATGAGGTCTGCCCTGGCTGCCCTATTTATAACTAGGACCTGCCCAAATACCCCAGCCCCCTTTTCCTACCATATTTTTTTAAAGCGCTTATCCCCTTCTAACGTACTGTATTATAGTTTATTTCATTTCGTGATTTATTATGTAGCTCCCCACTAGACCATATGCTCCATGAGAGTAGGAATTTGGTATGTTCTGCTCACTGATGTATCCCCAATGCTTAAAACAGAGCATCACGTAAAAATGAACCGAGGTATCCTGGAGGACTCATAACCACGGAGAGGCACAGGTGTGCAAGGAGGCCAGGGAGGGAAGAGGAGAGAAAGACTGAAGGAGAGCAAGGCCAAGAGAGAAAGACAAGAAAGAGCCAAGGAGGGAGAGAGAGAGAGAGAGAGAGAGAGAGAGAGAGAGAGAAGAAATAAGAGACAGAAACAAAAGAGACAGAAACAAAAGAGACAGAAACAAAAAAAAGAAAAAGATACAGAGAACATAAGAAACAGAAACAGGGAGACAGAATAGGAGAGACTGAGAGTAATAGAGCTGAAGAGAAACAAAGATAGAGTAAGAAACATAGAGACAATAAGAGGAAGAGACACAGGCAAAGAAAGAAGCAGGCTGAGCCTGACCCATTTCAGATAAATCAAGGCTCATCATTTGCAAAGAAGCACACCCTTCTCTTCCCCTGAGGATCTGGCTATGCGAAGCTCCTGCCCCTGCTCCTAGTGCTTAGTAGAGACCGAGCTGTATCTGAAGGACTGGGAAGTTCCCCTTCCCCTCAAATACCACCTTGGATCTCCCCAGTGTCTAAGATTTGGTCCCAGTGTGTTTCCTGGAGAAATGTATTGACCTGAGTGAGAAAAACCATCTTTTGCCCCAGTCCCAGCAGCTGGGACTGCAGCCTCATTAGACCTCCTCCTGCCAGAAGAAGTGGGGAGGTGGGCAGAAACCCAAAAGAGGGAGGATGCCTGGCCAGAGGCTGGGGCGGGGTTGCCTCTGCGGACCTCCAGGAGGAGGGGAAGGGAGGAAAAGGTCACAGAGCAGACACCCAAATCCACCCAGCAAAGGCACCTCTGCCAGATCTGTGCTGGGTCTTGGAGACATCTGAGCAATAATACAGAGCCTGTCCTTGGGGTGCTCTCACCTCATTGTCAGAACTATGAATGGTCCCCTCAACCCACCATCCCCCACCCTCTCATGCATCTGAACGGAACTGAGAGTTGGTTCTGGCAGGGGCTTGAAGACCATCAGCCCAGCCTCTGAGTCTCCATGTGCCCCTACCTTCAGCCATCCCAAATTAATTATGCCGCAGAAATGCAAAGAGTGTGCTCTGAGAAGCCCTAGCTCCCTGCCCACACCCCACTGTCAGCCAGGTGGCACTCTAGGACCTATATGGATAGAAATGCTCTTAAGGCCAGGCATACCCACAGGCACCCAACCCTGCATGATCACATTGCTACGCGAAGAGCCCTGGGTACACTCGGTCCTACACACTCACGCGCAGACCCAAATGTGCACCCATGTGTGCACAGGCCAGGCACACACAAACACCTCCCACTCCTAACAACACAGACTCATGCACACCAACATGCTCATGCATCCCTGTGCACACACCAATGCATAGATCAGGCACACACACGCATGCCCCACACACACAGGCTCACACATCTCCCACACACTTGCCTACCCAGGCCAGGGCCTGCAGCTGTGCACACTAACACTTCTATACGCTTTCTATTCTCAGCCCACCCTGGAGTCTGATAGACCAGCAGTCCTCAATCTTTTTGAAACCAGGGACTGGTGCTCCTATGAGAATCTAATGCCTGATGATCTGAAGTGGAGCTGAGCCAGTTATGCAAGTGCTGGAGAGTGGCTGCAAATACAGACGAAGTTTCACTAGCTTGCCAACCGGAGGCTCACCTCCTGCTGTGCAGCTAGGCCACTGACTGGTACTGGTCCGTAGCCCGGGAACTGGGGATCCCTGTTCTAGACATTCCCCTGCCCCATCCCTACCCTCCTTGTCCAACTGACACCTCTAAGACACCAGGTCTCTCTACTTAAAAAAAGAATAATGAAAGTGGGGCTGTAACTCCAGTAAGTCGGACTGCAGTGAGATTCCTGGTAGAACTTCCAGATGGCACTCAGGGTAGCTGACAGGGATTAACCCACAAAACCTACTCTCCTGAGGTCAGTTGTGGAATTGGGAGCTCCTCATCTCTAGGAAGTGGAGAGACGGGCCAGACGACCTTCCACATCAAGGCATTTTGGAACTCTAATGTTCAGCCTGGAATGGAGGGGGTATGGCCCTCCAGCCCCACAGATAAATGGCCCATGATGGTTTGAGGGTGGGGGCGGGGTACCATAGGCCTGTTGGCCTTTGAAATCTCCTGGCTCTGTTTTCCTAAAACACCCAGAAGCTGGGCAAAACAGGGACGTAAAATTCCTACTTTTATGGATGAGAAAAACAAGAACCAGAGAGGCTAAGTGGCTAGGCTCAGGCCACTAGCATTAGAGCAGCCAAATGTGGTGAGCCCCCATCCCAAGACACCCACTTACCCCAGCTGAGGGTCCTCAGTGTCTGGACAAAGGCTCCTGGAGGCATCATCCCCTTCTACTAGCCCACCAGCCCTCCAGGGCCTGGACTCTGTAGAATCTTCCAGAATGTTCAAGTCTGGCCCCAGGGCTAGGCCATTGGTGAGGGAGGGGCCAAGGCTGAGGCCGTGGAGGGCCATATCTGGGCCCTTTATGGGCTCCCCAGTGTCCACCAGTGTGCCCCTCATCTCACATCCTGTGCTGTTGTGGCTACTATTCAAGTCCTCATTGGCTGTCATTCCATTGTGGACCCCAGGCTCCTCCTCAGGCACGAGGCTGGGGTCCCAGGTGGTACCATCTTCCCCAGGCAGTACAGATGGGAGCTTATCTTCATCCATGACAGGCACTGCTTCCACCTGGTGCTGTCTGCTCCTGGGACTCCACTAGACCTGGCAGCAGATGAACAGATGAAGGGTAGGTCAGACAGGGCAGGTGCTATCGGGCGGGGGGGGAGGTCTAAAGCCTGGTGGAACCAGCACCAGGCAGCCTGCATGGGGACAGGATGGCCAAGACGCTTTCTCAAAACCTCCTAGCTGGAGTCTGGGTTCAGGCCATGGTGTCCTCAGTGCCCTGCTCAGGCCAACGCCACTCACTTCTCCCCAGCCATTCTGTGTGCCTCAGTCCTGCCTTCCCTATTAACCTTTCGGGTCTCTGTTGTGCCCTCCAGAATCACCAAAGCCCTCTGAGTAAGATCAAGTTGCAAGGGATTAGGGAAGGGTCCAGGACTCCTCCAAGCCCCCTTCCTCTCCCGCTGATGAGTGATGGAGACAAAACCCAAGGCGGAGAGCAGCCAGTCAGCCCACTTGCCTCTCTCCATGTTGTCTCGTCCCGGCTCCAGGAGCCAGACAAGAGTGAATCTGTGGTGAATGGAGGGAACTGGGCCAGCAGCTGCGTTTAGAGGGAGAGTTAAGAGGGGAGGCAAGGAAGTCAACAGAAGTGCAGCTTTATCAGAACAGAGGCTACCCCAGAGAAGCCAAAGTTAGGCCCGGGTGGCGGCCATCCCGAGGCCCAGCGTGAGGCGCTGTCCAGGGTGCTGGGCGGGTGCTGAGCCACCGAGAGAGCGAAGCTGCCTTCGCTGCCCAGAGCCCAAAGCACTGAATGTGAGAGGAGGAAGGAGAAGGGAGGAACTCGGAACTCGCCCAGCCCTGCGGAGGGACTCGTGAGGAGGCTGTCATGAGGTACACTGGGGAGACTACTGCAAGGGGAGTCAGGTTCTGCTCTGCCCAACTCACAGTGTAACCTCGCATGGGTTGAGGTCAGGCCTCTTCACGGCCCCATGCAGGCCAGTCCCACTCCCTCTGCCCTTCTCTCTGTCTGCTTCTCCTCTGTGAAGCGAGGAGACCCATTTTGCCTACCATCTGCACCTCCAACCCCTTTAAAAATGGATCGGAACCAGCCCACATTTCCCAGAGGCTTCCTGCCCAATCCAATCCTAGGTGAAAGGGCAGATGTAATGGGCTTTGTTCTGGCTCTCCCTTCATCCCTCCCTGCCCCTGACCCCACCAAGTCTGGGCTATTTCTGCCACACAGCCACCCCCAAGTGACCTCTGCCACCAAGGACACGTACCAGCCCCTCCAAACAACTTCCTTTCTCCTCTCTTCAGGACTCAACTTCCCCCAGCACCCCACCCTCTTACGGAGAAGGGGAGCTACAGGCTCCGAAGAGGCTGCAAGAGGAGAGGGACTAGCCAGCCTTCTGGGCTGCAGCAGAACAAGATGCAGGTACAGCCACAGGGATTTAAGTGAGACCCATACTGTAGTTGCCTGGTCATAAGTGTCCGCTGAAAGACTTGTTAAATTACAGATTATAAGGCCCTCCCCCAGACCTCCTGAATTATAGTCTGCAGAGAGCGAATATAGTAATGTTATTCTTATAACAAGCAAGTTTGAGGAACACTGAGTTATACTCCAGGAGGAACTTCCTTCTCACTTATAGAAGATGAGCCTGCAGAAGAAGGTGAATCTACTCCTCTGGGGGTTTCTGGCCCTTGAAGGGAGTTCTGACACCATAAGACCACTTAAGATTCATTTAGCCTCAGTTTTCAAACATGGAGTGAAAGAGAAGAGCGCAGGACAGGCAGAGATCTGAGGCCCCAGCCCACCTACCCTGAGTGTCACCTTCTAGAGTTTTGAAGATCGTGAACATAAATTTTACTTAAAAAAAAATTAAAAAAAAAAAAAAACCTTCATAGATTAAATAAAAAGGGTGCTTCCTAGGGAGAGCCAAACCGTAGGATATCTGGACCCTGATCCTAGGACACCAGGGACCCCAAGAGGCTCGGCCCTGAGCGAGGGATTCTTGCTGGTCTGCCCTAAACCCCTGCTGCTGCAGCCGTTATTTCACTCTGTTCCCTCAGGGCATGTGTTCAGAGAGCGGAGAGAACAGGTCAGCTCTCAGTTGAGGCTCCTTGGGTGGGGAGGGGGTTGCATTGAGAAAGAACGGGAGAGGGAGAGTGGGGCCTTCTGGCCAGCTGCCTGAGTTCTAGTCCTCTGGACTGCTTTCTAGCCCGGGGGCCTAGATGAGCATTAAATCTTGGGCACAGGGCTTTCCCCCAATCCACCAAGGTGCCTCAAGCTCCCACACCCACGCGTGGAGGCTGAGTCCCTAGGGTGCTTCCTCTTTGGTCAGGGCTCTGCCTGAGCTCCCAGTGAAGCCTGAGATTTGAAAGCATAAGCAGCTTCACCTGTGCCCGGTTTATCCCAGCCCCTAACCCACGGTTCTGGACAAATCTAGGGCCTCTTGGGAGGCTCCTACATCACCTCCCCCAAATTCCAGCAGCTGCCTCTGGCTGGCTCCAGCCCTACCTGCCCTGCCATGTCCTCCTACAGCTGGGAATGGGATGGAGGTTCTGCCAACACTGGGCACTGGGCCGTGTCCTCGGCTTCTGGGGGTGGGCAGACAAGGGGCAGCATTGAGCTCCACTCTGGGCGGGGGGCCCAGAGTCCCTGCCTGGGCTGAGAGCCAGCTAAGCCCAGAAATAGCTGAGCCAGGATCCCCCTCTCTTAATGATCCCAAAGGAGGGGTATGTAAAGGGGGGCTTCTGCGCCGAGGTGTGAAACAGTGCCCCAAGTCCTCACTCTGAACCACCATATGCGCTGGAACTCATCATTGTCCTTTCTGGCCTTTGTAGACCCATCTGAAGAATGGGGTCATCACCTCTGCTCCCCTTCTCCAGAGCTGGTGGGAGAACTCAAGGCCATGAATGCTGAGAGAGCTGAGATCCAAGGAAGAACAAACTCACTACAGAGGTCAAGGAGAAAGGCAGCCATTGTCCAACACATTGGACAAAAGGCAAGCCTGAGGCACAGAACCAGAAAAGGCTTTGCCTGAGCAGCCGTCTCCAGCACTTAGAGGAGCTTCACTCTACACCTGGGTAGGCTGGAGGTACTGAATGAGCCCCCAGTTTCCCAGGCCCTCCATCAGACTCTCCCACAAGATCAAGGGCTCAAATCCTCAATCAGGAGAGTCCACTCAAAGCAGTGACCCTGCCCACCTCCAGCTGTGCCCACCTCCTCTGCTCTTGCTGGCAAAGGAGGTAGGCGCAGCTGGGCCACAGGGCGCCTATCCCAAGGAGAGGCCTACAAATGATAGGCTGTCAGTGGCCAGATCCCCTGCATCCTCTCTTGGCCTGAACAAGGTCCCACTCCAGACAGGGATTCTGCTGACCACTGCCCTTGGGATGACCTTGGGCTCAGCAGTATCTTTTTCAGCACCAACCAAGATGAGGCCCATGATGACAGTGGACCTCTGGCTGGGTCAAGGCTATGTGCCGAGCCAGCCACTTTCTGGGTCTCAGCTGCTCCTGAGACAACCCTGTCCCTCTCCCCACTCTCTCTATGGCAGCTGGAGTGAGCTGTGAAAATGCAAATTACACCACATCATTTCCGCACTCACAACCTTCCAACAGCTCCCACTACCCTTCAATTAGAATTCAGTCTCCTCAGCATGACCTAAAAAAGCCCTGCCTGAACTGGTTCATTGCCCTCTCCCCATCCCCCACCCCATCAGCCACGTGGCCTTCTTTGTGCTCCCTGAGCTCATTCCCACCTCAGGGCCTTTGCACCAGCTGTACCCTTGGCCTACTGCCTTTTCTCTGCCTCTTTGCATGGCTGGCTCTTCCTCACTAGGTCTCAGATCGAATGTCACCTCCTCTAAGACACCTCTTCTGAGCCCCTCCCCAAGTAGTCCTGCCCTTCCAGTGCTCAGGGCTCGACTCCAACACTGCCTCTTCGGAGAGACTCTCTCTGACCACCCGGCACTCTCGCACATGCCTCCACGGAGCAGCATGTCTGCCAAGCATCACTTAGCAAAACTGAAACTTTACTTCCTGCCCACCTCTCTCACTAGGACATAAGTTCGGTGAGGGTGGGGACTATGTCATGTTCGCTGTTGTCTCCCCTGGGGCATAGCACAGGGCCTGGCAAACAGTGAGCACTTTTTTAAATATTTGGAGATGATCATCATCCCTGCTGTAGGCAGAGGGTGAGCAAGGTTGAAAAATATGCTCAGGGTCATGAAGCTAAAAAGTGGCAAGGCTGGCATTCTGCTTGGAATGATGCTGGACTGTCACAGGGATAACCGCGCACAGTGTCTTCCATGCTGGGATCCAAGCCAGGGACTGTGGAAAGCCCAAGGAAAGGCTGAAGGAGGGGCCCAGCAGAAAGGGCTCCAGGGCCCAACTTGCTCTATAAGACAGAGGGGAGGGTGTATGGGGACAGGCACTTGTGTGGATGTCTGTGAACAAGCATCCAATACAGGCAATTGGTGGGCACATACACACATGTGTGCACACACAAACACACATGAGGGGCTGGGCAGCCACTCAGAAGGCAGTCCCCCTGGATGGTGAGGTGGCGATGAGGCACCTTCAGGCCTAAGGGCATAGTCCAGGGCAGCTAGACCCACATCACTGGGCAACTGGGGTTAAAACCATTCTGGTTTGGGAGAAACCAGGAGCAGGGAAGGGACAACCCAGTGCCTCAGGCTAGGGTAAGGGGTGGGGAAGGTGGGCACCCACAGCCATACCCCATAGCATCAGGTGGCTGCGTGGGTTTGGGTGAAGATAGGGGAGCAGGAGGCAGATCTTGGATGGGGGACAATGGTGCTGAGCGCTACCCAGAACAGGCAAAATCTATGCTGTGGGATGTTCAAGGCTGCTTATAGCCCAGGCAGGGTATATTGAGGGGGCTGGGTCCAGAGAAAACTGTTATGGAATGTCAGTGTAGAGGCAAAGCTGAGACCACAGCTTTCCCAGGGAGCAGGGCTGGGAGCCAAGACATTCAGGTTTTACCTCCAATGTGCGAGGAGAGCTTGGGCAAATGAAGCCTCTCATTCCCTGGGTACATCAGAGACTCTGCCATCTCCCAGTGTTGGACCTCTTCG